AGTGAAGAATCCATGTGCATCCAAGTGGAAGTACATCAAAATCAAGGAGCATTTTGGAGCCTTGGCCACCTAGCCTCCACCTTTGTTCTTGGCCGAAAATTGCTAGCTTCTCCTTCAAGCGTTGAAAGTATTATGATTCGTCTCCAGGTGCAATGCTGAGTCCTTTCGATGATTGATTGTTTGATTGTTGATGGATGGTTGTGGAATGAAAGACTGCCCCTAGGTGGATGGGCAAGAGATGTTTGTTGTGCCCATATGTTGGTGGGCAGAGAAGTGGATGGCTGACAGGGATTTCAGTGTTGCCCCTGCCACGTGAGTATTGTGATGCCTCTCCAGGCACCTTTATTATGGGATGGTTGGTAAGATTTTGTTGTTGTTCTTGTCAAGATGAGTATTGTGATGCCTCTCTAGGCATCTGCTTGTGGTAGGTTTTTTTTTTTTGAATTTCATTTTTTGTTTAGCTTCGAGTTTTTCAACATGTACAAAGCTTGCCTTTTTCTCATGTCGTTGTTTTGCTCTTTTGTCAAGATGCAAGAAAATAAAAAAAATGCTGGATGCTTATTCATGCAAGATTTTTATTTATTTATTTTTTAATAATCCCCCTTGGATAAAGAAAGCTTTATAAGTGTGTGAAATGTTTTTGGATGCGTGCAATGCATGTTTTGATTTTTGTTTTTTTTCTTTCGTTTTTTTTTAGAAGGTGGCTCTCCTTTTCTCCTTCTCACGAAGAGACTGCTTCGATCATGTGCAACATTAGTCATATTGGCCGTTTGGTGTATTGAGTCATTTTGGGGCTCCTTTTTTATTTTTGTTTAGAAACCCTAATTTTTGCCTAGGATGTATCCTAGCGGCTATTTTTTGCTTTTTCATTTGCCCTAATTTTTTCCTAGGACGCCCTTTGCGAGTTTTCATCCCAGCGGGTCATTTTCATTTTTTTGTTTCTCTTTTTTTGTACTTATTTAAATTTTGACAACCATCAACAATATACGTCATTAAGATTGGACAAGACAGAAAGGAAAGAAAAAGATGATTTAGAATGAATGGTTAGTAGAGGTAGGATGATTTAGAATGAATAGGTAGTGGAGGTATGATGATTTAGAAAGAATGGGTAGTTGAGAAAGGTGAGTGTTTAAGTTTTTTTTTTTTAAACAAACATTTCCTTGGATAATTATTATAATCATTCTCCTAATTATCTTGAACTACATATCTGAGTCTCCGGCAGAGTCTTCGCAGAATTTGGCCCCTTGTAGAAGTGTTCAAGCCGCCTTTTAGCTTTCAAATATGAGAATCATCACTTGGTATTTTTATCCTTTTTAGATCCCTAATATTTGCCTAGGACGTGTTCTAACAGGAACTTTCGATTTTGTTTTTTGCCTAAGATGCCCTTTGCGGGTTTTCATCCTAGTAGTATTTTGCAAGTGATATTATTTTTTGGCATAACACTTCTTTACTTTGACAAAATCTTATGTCATCCACGTTTGGGAGGACCAGCACCTTTGATGATTAACACTGCCCCCATTCCCGTACACCAAGGAGAAAGATGTTGCCCCAACCTACGGGTGTTGAGAGAGAGTTCTTTCATGAGCCGAGATTTGTGCTTCTTTTGTCGGCCAAATTGAGTGAAAGTTTTTTTTTGCAAGACTCTTCTTATGCAATGAGAATCTTGTGTAAGACTCTTCTGATCACTTTCTTATTTTTGTGTGTTTCGAGGAGGTGATATTCTTATCTACCTTAGAGTAAGATAATGCGTTGTAGACATTCGAAGCTTTGATTAATTTTATTATCTTCGGTCAGGCTGGTAGGGATTTCAGTGTTGCCCCTGCCACATGAGTATTGTGATGCCTCTCCAGGTGTCTGTTGTGGAGTCCCTTTGGTTCATTGATGATTGATTGTTTATGCTTTCCTGATTAACCCCCCCTTCTAGATTCTAACCGTAGGGACCAACAAAAGTCTCTCCTAAAACTGAAGAGAAATCTCTCTCTAAGGTTCTCACCAAAGGTTTCAACCTTTGCCTTGGTTCCTTAAGCTTCCTTCACAAGCTAGGAAGTAACCGAACCTCCTCCATGCTTTTACTCCATTGAAGCTTCTTCAAAGAAGAATTCCAAGGTCAAAACGTGTTAACCTCAAGGAGCATTTCGGTCCTTTGCATGGAAGTTTGGAAGAACATCAATCTTCTCCAAGTGCTTCCATCAAGAAGGGACCTTCCCATGTCAGTGCTAGCTTTCCTTCGGTGTGGTCCTTTCTGGCGTCACCTCGGAGTCGCCATACGAGGTCTCCTGGTCGGAACTTCCTTGGTTTGACTTTGGTGTTGTATCTTCTTGCGGCTCAGAGTTTGCAGGCTTCTTCTTTAACCCGAGCTTCATCTCTGAGCTCGTCGATCATGTCGAGATTAACTTCCAATTCTTGATTGTTCTGCTGGTTATTGAAGGACAACCTCCAATGTGATGCTTCTCCGACCTCTATGGGAATCATGGCATCGGAGCCGTAGGTTAACCTGTATGGTGTTTCTTGAGTTGTTGATTGCGGGGTGCAATTCTATGCCTAGAGGATGTTGGGGAGCTCCTCTGCCCATAGGCCTTTTGCTGATCCTAGTCGCTTTTTAAGCTCATGGAGTAGTACTTTGTTCGCCGCTTCAGCTTGGCCGTTCGCTTGGGGGTGTTCTACCGAGGTCACGTGATGTTGGACGTCGAGCTCTTGTAGGAATCTTTCAAACTTCCTATCTATGAATTGTCTTCCATTGTCGGTAATGATCACATGTGGGAGCCCGTATCTGCATATTAGATTTTTCCATGTGAATCGCTGTATATTCTCGACTGTGATTTTGGCTAGGGGACCGGCCTCGATCCATTTTGAGAAGTAGTCGATGGCTACTAACACTACAAAAAAAAAGTCAATTTAGCCACCGAAATTAGCGACCGATTTTTTTTCGTCACTAATAGCGACATAATTAGCGACCGAATATGATTTGGTTGCAAATTTTATTTAGCGACCGAATTTTTTAGTGGCAAATAATCGGTCGCTAAATCAGTAGCTAAAATAATAATTGTTGATTAAAATAGCAGCTTCTGACCCATAACAAGTAGAATGAATGGATGCATGGATGCAATGAAAATGCAAGACAAGAATGATTTTATTATTATTTTTTTGTGTAACTCCCTTCCATATGCCCCTACCTCCTATGCATGCGATGCAATTTATGCTCATGTGTTTGTTCCTAAACATGCAATTCATTTTTTTTAATGTCGGGAAATTAACATGTGCGCATTAAGGTTAATGTTGACGATTCCTTTCTATCCATGCCAGTCTAATGAAGACGAGGATGGGCAAAGGAGTAAATGATGAGTATTATTATGCTTGGCCTCTCCAGGCTGCCTGCTGATTCTGATGATGTGATTGCCTCTTTTCTATGAGAAGACGTTTGATGAAGACGAAGGTTGCTGGTAGGTGGTGGGAAAAGGAGTAGATGCTGAGTATTATTATGCCTGGCCTCTCCAAGCTGCCTACTGATGCTGATGATGTGATTGCCCCTTTTCTATGGGAGGATGTCTAATGAAGACGAGGATGGGCAAAGGAGTAAATGATGAGTATTATTATGCTTGGCCTCTCCAGGCTGCCTGCTGATTCTGATGATGTGATTGCCTCTTTTCTATGAGAAGACGTTTGATGAAGACGAAGGTTGCTGGTAGGTGGTGGGAAAAGGAGTAGATGCTGAGTATTATTATGCCTGGCCTCTCCAAGCTGCCTACTGATGCTGATGATGTGATTGCCCCTTTTCTATGGGAGGATGTCTAATGAAGACGAGGATGGGCAAAGGAGTAAATGATGAGTATTATTATGCTTGGCCTCTCCAGGCTGCCTGCTGATTCTGATGATGTGATTGCCTCTTTTCTATGAGAAGACGTTTGATGAAGACGAAGGTTGCTGGTAGGTGGTGGGAAAAGGAGTAGATGCTGAGTATTATTATGCCTGGCCTCTCCAAGCTGCCTACTGATGCTGATGATGTGATTGCCCCTTTTCTATGGGAGGATGTCTAATGAAGACGAGGATGGGCAAAGGAGTAAATGATGAGTATTATTATGCTTGGCCTCTCCAGGCTGCCTGCTGATTCTGATGATGTGATTGCCTCTTTTCTATGAGAAGACGTTTGATGAAGACGAAGGTTGCTGGTAGGTGGTGGGAAAAGGAGTAGATGCTGAGTATTATTATGCCTGGCCTCTCCAAGCTGCCTACTGATGCTGATGATGTGATTGCCCCTTTTCTATGGGAGGATGTCTAATGAAGACGAGGATGGGCAAAGGAGTAAATGATGAGTATTATTATGCTTGGCCTCTCCAGGCTGCCTGCTGATTCTGATGATGTGATTGCCTCTTTTCTATGAGAAGACGTTTGATGAAGACGAAGGTTGCTGGTAGGTGGTGGGAAAAGGAGTAGATGCTGAGTATTATTATGCCTGGCCTCTCCAAGCTGCCTACTGATGCTGATGATGTGATTGCCCCTTTTCTATGGGAGGATGTCTAATGAAGACGAGGATGGGCAAAGGAGTAAATGATGAGTATTATTATGCTTGGCCTCTCCAGGCTGCCTGCTGATTCTGATGATGTGATTGCCTCTTTTCTATGAGAAGACGTTTGATGAAGACGAAGGTTGCTGGTAGGTGGTGGGAAAAGGAGTAGATGCTGAGTATTATTATGCCTGGCCTCTCCAAGCTGCCTACTGATGCTGATGATGTGATTGCCCCTTTTCTATGGGAGGATGTCTAATGAAGACGAGGATGGGCAAAGGAGTAAATGATGAGTATTATTATGCTTGGCCTCTCCAGGCTGCCTGCTGATTCTGATGATGTGATTGCCTCTTTTCTATGAGAAGACGTTTGATGAAGACGAAGGTTGCTGGTAGGTGGTGGGAAAAGGAGTAGATGCTGAGTATTATTATGCCTGGCCTCTCCAAGCTGCCTACTGATGCTGATGATGTGATTGCCCCTTTTCTATGGGAGGATGTCTAATGAAGACGAGGATGGGCAAAGGAGTAAATGATGAGTATTATTATGCTTGGCCTCTCCAGGCTGCCTGCTGATTCTGATGATGTGATTGCCTCTTTTCTATGAGAAGACGTTTGATGAAGACGAAGGTTGCTGGTAGGTGGTGGGAAAAGGAGTAGATGCTGAGTATTATTATGCCTGGCCTCTCCAAGCTGCCTACTGATGCTGATGATGTGATTGCCCCTTTTCTATGGGAGGATGTCTAATGAAGACGAGGATGGGCAAAGGAGTAAATGATGAGTATTATTATGCTTGGCCTCTCCAGGCTGCCTGCTGATTCTGATGATGTGATTGCCTCTTTTCTATGAGAAGACGTTTGATGAAGACGAAGGTTGCTGGTAGGTGGTGGGAAAAGGGGTAAATGATGAGTATTATTATGCCTGGCCTCTCCAAGCTGCCTGCTAATGATGATGATGTGATTACCCCTTTTCTATGGGAGGACGTCTGATGAAGATGAGGATTCCTGGTAGGTGGTGCCCTTGTGATGGTGGGCAAAGGAGCAAATGCTGAGTATTATTATGCTTGGCCTCTCCAGGCTGCCTGCTTATGATGATGATGTGATTGCCCCTTTTCTTTGGGAGGATGTCTGATGAAGACGAGGATTAATGGTAGGTGGTGCCTTTATGATGGTGGGCAAAGGAGTTGATGGGTGACAGGGATTCTAGTGTTGCCCCTGCCATGTGAGTATTGTGATGCCTCTCTAATGTCCGACTGATGAAGTACACCAGATGTTGTTCGTCTTGTTTTTCCTGAATCAGGACGGCACTGATTGATGTGCTAGAAACGGCTAAATACACAATCATGTCGAGGTCGACGACTGGTTTGGAAAGGATTGGAGGTGCGCCCAGGCGTTCCTTGAACTGTTGGAACGATGCCTCACACTTCGGGGTCCATATGAACCGTTTAACTTTCTTCAGTAAAAGAAGGATAGGTCTAGCTATCTCGGCCAGGCAAGGAAGGAACCGAGAGAGGGAGGTGAGTCGGCCTGCTAACTTTTGAACCTCCTTCAAAGTACTTGGACTTTTCATGTCTAGGATGGCCTGACACTTGTCGGGATTTGCCTCAATGCCTCGACTGGACAGCATGAATCCTAAAAATTTACCGCCCGAGACTCCGAACACACACTTCTCAAGGTTAAGTCTCATTTGGTGGTGCCATAGCGCCTGAAACACCTCGGTCAAATCTTGTGCATGTGCCGACACTGTACTTGACTTCACCACCATGTCATCAACGTACAAAAATCATTGCAACCATTTTGCGACCGAAATTTTCGGTCGCCAAACAGCGACCAAATTTTTCAGTCGCTAAACCAAAATTTTCGGTCGCTATGAAAATTTTTTGGTCGCTATATAGCTTTGTGACTAGGGTTTTTGCGACTACTTAAATTCGGTCGCTAAGGCAAATAGCGACCGATTTTAGCAATTTAGCGACCGATTTTATCGGTCGCTAAATCCAATTTTTTTTGTAGTGTAACAAGAATTTGAGTTTGCCCTTGGCCAAGGGGAAGGGGTCGAGGATGTCCATTCACCATTGCGCAAAAGGCCATGGTGATTGCATTTGGTGTAAGACCTCAGGGGAACTCCAAGGTACGTGGTCGAATTCTTGGCATGGCTTGCATCTTTGTATGTAAGCTTTACAGTCCGATCTCAACGTGGGCCAGTAATACCAAGCGCGGATAACTCAAGTGGCCATGGAGCGTGCTCCCGAGTGTCGTCTGCATATCCCCTTGTGTATTTCTTCGAGTACGTACTCGGCTTGAGACTTGACAAGGCATTTGAGTAGCGACATTGAGACACTTCGCCTGAACAGTTCACCTGATTCGATGACGAACCGAGGCAACTGGTTCTTAACTCGTCGGGCTTCATTTTTGTCGTCGAGTAGGATTCCTTCACTTAGGTAGTGCTATATGTTGGTCATCCATCCTTTTTCGACTGGTTTAGTTGAGTAGATTGCCTCGTTTTCCAGGCTTAGAGAGGACATGGTCTCTTGGATAATGGTTTTATGTTGTCCTAGGCGTTTGGTATTGGCGAGCTTCGAGAGGAGGTCGACCCTGGCATTTCTTTCTCGATGTACATGGTGGATGGTGAAACCTGAAAGCATGTGATCCAGGCCGAGGTGGCGAGGTGATATCGTTGCAAGAGGGGGTCTTTAATTTGGTAGGTACCCGCTAGTTGTTCTACCAAGAGTTTGGAGTCGCTATTGCAACAAATGTTCTTGGCGCCGATGTCGTGTGCCAATCTTAGTCCAGCTAGGAGTGCTTCATACTCAACCTGGTTATTGGTGTCTTGGAAGTCGAGCTTCAGGGATTGCTCGACAAGGATGTCGTTGGGTCCTTCTAGAATGATGTCGGTGCCCCCTCCTTTTGGGTTGGAGGAGCCATCTACGTGTAGTGTCCAGGTCTCTTGATCTTCTGTCATGATCGGGGTTAGTTCGGCAACAAAATCTGCGAAACATTGGGACTTGAGTATCCCCTTGCTTTCGTACTAAGTTTCGAACTCAAAGAGCTCTACCAACCATGCAATCATTTGTCTGGTGAGTTTGAGTTTTCAGAGTATTTGTCTGATGGGGTAGTGAGTTTTGACAACAATTTGGTGACTCTGAAAGTATGGTCAGAGTCGTCGGGCAACGGGGACAAGAGCTAAGGCTAGCTTCTCGATTGTTTGGTACCTTGTCTCCATATCCTGAAGGACACGACTGATGAAGTATATCGGATCTTGTTTTGCCCCATCTTCTTGTATGAGGGCTGTGCTGATAGCGTTGTCGGTAGCCGCGAGGTATAGAAGCAGCTCACCTTGGTCCTTAGGTCGAGTTAAGATTGGTGGAGTGGCGAGGAATTGCTTAAAGGCTGAGAATGCGGCTTCACATTGTTCAGTCCAGGAAAATTCCTTGGGTTTTCGCAGCAGGTTAAAGATCGGCTTTGCCTTCTCTTCTAGCTTTGGTATGAAGCGTTAGAGGGAGGCTAACCGACCTGCCAGTCTTTGCACTTCTTTTAACGTTTGGGGGCACTTCATGTTAATGATGGCTTCACACTTCTCGAGGTTCACCTCAATTCCCCTACTGGTGATCGTGAAGCCCAGGAACTTCCCTCCTTGTACTCTGAATGCATACTTCTCGGGTTTAACCTCATGTTATGCTTCTTATTTCACCAAACACCTCGGCCAAGTCAGCTATGTGTGATCCGGTCGAGGTGGTTTTTATGACCATGTCATCAACATAGACCTCCATGTTTTTGCCAATCTGCCGATGGAAGACCTTGTCCATCAGTCTCTGGTAGGTGGCGCCAGCATTTTTGAGACCGAATGGCATTACTCGGTAACAAAAGTTGGCATGTTCAGTGATGAATGCCATTTTTTCCTGATCTAGGGGATACATCAGTGTCGCAACCCAAAAATTTCTGATCTCGCGACTAATGGTTTAGACATCCTTTTAAAAGTCTCATTAATTAAGGAATGCCCGAACACCAGACTAATCCTTAATTAATAGTTTTGAAAATAGGTTTATGGAGTCGCCACCAATGTTTTACTCAAAACATTGGAAAAAGAAAAGGTTTTTAAAAAAATCCAATAATGGCCTTGATAACCAAAATTGGGTTTGGGGGTCGGTTACGTGTAGG